CTGTGGCTGGGCTGTGTGGCTGGGCTCTGTGTCCAGGCCCTGTCCTCCTCTTCCGCGCCCTGAACTCTGTCAACTCTGTGGCTGGGCTCCGTGGCGCGCGCTCTGACATACGCTCCAGAAAGGCGCGCTCAGAGCGCGCTCTACAGAGAGAAAGACAGAGAAAGAGAAAGAGAAAGAGAAAGAGAAAAGAGAAAAGAGAAAAGAGAAAGAGAAAGAGAAAGGAAAGGAAAGGAAAAGAACGAACGAACGAAAGAAAGAAAGAAAGAAAGGAAAGAAAAGAAAGAAAATAAAGAAAAGAAAAGAAAGAAAGAAAGAAAGAAAAGAAAGAAAAGAAAGAAAAAAAAGAAAGAAAGACAAACAGAAAGAGAGTAGGGCGAGAGCGTGCGCGCGCTCGTGTGCTATGGACAGCTTACTGGGCTCTTGTCCTCCTCGGGCCTTGTCCTCTGCTTGTCCTCCTCTTGTCCTTGTCTTGGCTGGGCCCCTGAACTCTGTGGCTGGGCTCTGTGTCCGGGTCTTGTCCTCCTCTTGTCCTTGTCTTAGCCGCGCCCCTGAACTCTGTGGCTGGTCTCTGTGGCCCGGCTTACTGGAGAGGAGTGTGGCCGAACACATGGCGATGTCAATGCCAACAAAAATTCATTCATGAAGTAGTTTGCCCTTGGGGTGAAAGTAGGGCGCATCAAGAAATTGATTTTTGATTAATCTTGGTCTAAGCGAATCGTTTTGAAGCTGTTTGGGGTCTATGCTTGTATAACTTTTTTAAAATCGGACTTGATTTGGTTAGAAGTGGTTAGAAGTTGGAACGATTGATCACAGTTGCGGGGAGCCACGGGAACCGCGAGACCCGCAGCACTCTTTGTGTCAGACGGGCGGGCGCGTCTCCTTCGCTTCGCCTTTGCAGTGCGTCTTCGGCCGAGCGACGTTTGCTTTTTCACATCGCGCATCGGACGTATCGGTCGCATCCGTGGCTTTCTGCTGGAGGTAACAAGCTCTTGACCTTCAACAATGGCTGATCATGATGATGACGATCACACCTTCGAGAGTGCTGATGCCGGTGCTTCCCACACTTACCCCATGCAGGCAAGGATCAAGAAGTGTTGAGTGGCCGATTCTTTGTTTGACTAGATCCTCGCAGCGCATATGCACAGCTAACATTCTTTACCAACCCGCCGAATTACCTTGCTTGTTTTGTTTTACTCGAATCAAGCAGTTCCTACATAGATTGAAGTCAAGTCCTGTCTCTTGAAAGCTGTTGCAATTGCAGGCTGGTGAGATCCGCAAGGGCTCCCATTTGATGATCAAGGGGCGCCCTTGCAAGTGCCTTGGTCAAGCAGGCTGTGCGATGGATTGGGAACCTCTTGCACATGAAGTCACAACCTATGGCAGTGCTACTTTGAGGTTATTTATTTGACCGTTTGAACATGATGGTTTGGGGGCTTTCTGAAGCGGTCGT